CACGCACACACGAGAGAGAGAGAGAGAGAGAGAGAGAGAGAGAGAGAGAGAGAGAGAGAGAGAGAGAGAGAGACAGACACACACACACACACAAACACACACACAGAGGGGGAGGGGGAGAGAGAGAGAGAGAGAGAGAGAGAGAGAGAGAGAGAGAGAGGATCTTGTTATGTGGCCCAACTAGCTTCAACTCATAATCCTTCTGCCTCAGCTTCCTGAATAGCTGGACTAGTACATCACTTCTCCTGTCTGTCTGTCTGTCTGGACAGCCTCTTAAAGCCTCACTGTTTGTCAGTGATAGTGAAGAAACCAAATAAGTTACCTCTGGAGGAAACCATGTAAAATTACTAAGAATTGGATAAAAGATGTCTTCATAACGGCTCCACCTTCAAAGAAGAGATGTGTGCATACAAAAAATATTTGCTTTAGATACCATTTTCTATGCCTTTATACATACATAACGTGTGATTGACAGGAACACATCTTCCTTTATCATCTTCATGTTGCCTTCATGAATAGAGCTAAATAGCAGGCTGGTTGTCCTGGTTGGTTTTTGTCAATTTGATACAAGGTAGAGTTATCTGGGAAGAGGAACCACAACTGAGAAAATGTCTCTGTTTGCTGGCCTGTAGGCAAGTCTGTGGGGGCATTTGCTTGATTAATGATTGATGTGGAAGGGTCCAGCTCACTGTGGGGTGGTGCCACTCCTGGGCAGGTGGTCCTGGGTTGTATAAGAAAGCACACTGAGTAAATCATGATAAGCAAGCTACTAAGCAGCATTTCTCTATGGCTTTTGCTTCAGTTCCTTCCTTAAATTCCAGCCCCACCATTTCTCTGTGATGGAGTGAGACATGGGAGTTGTAAGTTCAAATAAACCCTTTCCTCCCCAAGCTGCTTTTGGTCACAGTGTTTTATCAGTTTTAGAAACCCCTAACTAAGACATTGATTCTAAAACAAGGCCACATGTTACATTTTGAGCTTTATGTTTTAAAAGCAACTATAACCTGCCATCATGATTTTAATATTTTCCCTAGAACTTCTTATTTGTCTTTAGTTACCAGACAATAAATTTGATATGAGAAATAAAGAGGAATAATGCCTAGAACTGTGCCAATGTGAACTGGCTGACTTTCAGTGACCATAAAATGTCTTAGCAATTTTCTTTTGTTCATCACAGTGTTAGGATAGATTCATAGTCTATTTGTAGCTGAAAAAGAGCCATACTCCCAGAGGTTGTTTATATGTTGTCATAAAAAATAATTCACACAAAATTTTCATTATATTATCTGAGACTCAATAAAAAGACAAAACAAGCCGGGCGTGGTGGCGCACGCCTTTAATCCCAGCACTTGGGAGGTAGAGGCAGGCGGATCTCGTGAGTTCAAGGCCAGCCTGGGCTACCAAGTGAGCTCCAGGAAAGGCGCAAAGCTACACAAGAGAAACCCTGTCTCGAAAAAACCAAAAAAAAAAAAAAAAAAAAGACAAAACAAAGCAACAATAACAACCCCCCCCAACAAAACAACAACAAAAAACCCACCTACAAAAAAAAACCATCTACATTTAGTTATCTGCCATTTGAGAGCTATGGTTTCTACTTGAGGGCATTTTCCAGAAAATATAAACATATAATGTTTCTCCTTTTAGAGAGTGCAGAATTACAGGCTCATTTTGGTTTTCTTCATGTGTCTTGCCCATATTTTCAGTGTTATTCTCATTTGGACACTGGTCACATATTTTTTAAATCTAGAGCCATTGATGTTCTCTTTATTTTGCTTTTTAGTTTTCTTTATGTTACCCATTTTTAGTTTTATCACTTACATACTTTTAGTTTTGTTGTGGTACAAGAGTTCAGGAAAGTGTGCCATGCTACCTATATGAAGGATATTGTACCTCATTTTCCACTTCACTTTTTATACTGGTACAATTTGGTCTTAGTGTTTATATTAGCCAGCTTTCTGTTACTATGGCAGAGTACCAGAAGCAACTTAGTTAAAATGAGAAAAGGGTTATTTTGGTCATGGTTTCTTCTCAGATCAAATAGTTGTTGGGGAGTATTACTTTTGTCTATGTTGCATTAGTTTAACTCTGTGAATCTGTGTTGCTGTGCCTGTCTAAAACACCTGATGGTCTAATAAAGAGCTGAGTGGCCAATATCAAGGCAGGAGAAAGGATAGCAGGGCAGGCAGAGAGACTAAATAGAAGGAGAAATCTAGGAGTAAGAGAGGAAGTGGCCAGAGAAGGAGGAGGGCCCAGGGACCAGCCACCCAGCTACATAGCAAGCCATGGAGTAAGATTAAGATTTACAGAAGAGAACAGGAAAAACTCAGAGGCAAAACGTAGATGGGATCATTTAAGTTAAGGAAAGCTGGCAAGAAACAAGTCAAGGTAAGGCTGGGCATTTACAAATAAGAATAAGTCTCCATGTGTGATTTATCTGGGAGCTGGGTGGTGGGCTCCCCAAAAGAGTAAAAGTATCTAACAACAAATAGTCCCACGTCTTTGGGTGTTAGTGAGGTCAGCAATCATGGCAAGATCATGTAACAATACAAATTAATCATCTTGTAAGTCAGAACAAAGAATAGAAGACAGATGATCATCTCACTCTCTTTGGGGGTCTACTCTGAATGACTGAAGGACTTTTCACAAGGTCTCACCCACTGTGTGCCCTTCCACTCTTTAGTTGTACCATCCTGGGTACCAAATCTCTGACATGTGAACCCTTGGGGGATGCTCATCCAAACCACAGCAGCACTGTAGTACACCTTCCCATCAATGGCTATTATTTCTATTGCAGGCAGAACATCATTTAGTATTCATAAACACATTTGCTTTTGCCTCTTCCTACAGTTTCCCTAAACTTTATTTTTGTCTTCCTTACTTTGCATTATGACATTTTGAGTTTATCTCTAGTTGCTTCTTAGAGACCCTTGCCATGCAAGTTCTACTGTGAAGTGCTGCGCTCTATTTATTGTCTGTGGAGCTAAGAGATTACTTTCAACTTAGTGGCAAATCCCCGACTTCGAAACCTTCAGTTCTGGAAGTCCAGAGTTGGAATGGGTTTCATAGAGCTGTGGATTGGGCTGGGGTGCTTTCTGGAGGCTCTACAAGAGGGTGTGTTTCCCTGCCCTTCCCATCTGCTGCAGACTACGTGTGTTCTTTGTTTTGGTGTCTTCTTTTGTGTATCACATAGATAGATAATTTTCTTCCCCCTTGTACTTCTTATTTTTAACCCTAGGGATTGAACCCAGGGTCTTGAGCATTTCAGGCAAGCAAGCACTCAATCAACTGAGCCAGGCTTCCCAGCCCTTCTTGATAATGAAGAACTCTTGTGACTTTGAACTCATCTAGATAAATGAGAATGGATTTCCCTATTGGAAAGTCAACTGTTTACTAACCTTAATTCTACTTATAATTTTAATTACCCTTTGCCAAATAACAGGAGGAGCAATACCATGTTCTGGGGGTAGGATGTAGATATCTTTGAGGCAGTGGTACTGATTCTGCGTCCTTCACTCAGTTGAGTGCAACAGTTACATTATACTCGGGTTCCAGCTGTTCCTTCCCACCTTTCCTCCATTTGTCTAATCTCTGCTGACTCTGAATGAATATATACAAACAATAGCTTTGATTTTTTTCATTTAAAGCATAATTAGAATAACTTACTTTGATATGTAAGTATTTTAAGAAAAATAGATAAATATTAATCATCCTTTCCCCTTTATTTAAATTATTTATATCAGATCCATTTTCTTTCTTTTCTTCTTTCTTTTGTAGTAGGTAGTATTTTATGCTGTAAGAGACATGGAGATCACTTTGAAAACTAAAACCGCTGCTGCATGGAAACATTTGGGTTACTAATGTGTTTTGTTTTTATGCACAACATATTTTTATACCATTTTTTTGGTGACTTGATATGAGGGTCACAAATGATTTGGACTTGCCTCCTTCTGAGTTGACTTTACTAGAAATCCATACAGTTCTGCCAGAGTCCTTCTGTGTTTCAGAACATACCACTTCTTTTCTCCCCTCTCCATTAAATACAAAGGTCCTAGCAATATCTTGAGTGACAAGCATTTGGTCTGAAAGCACGCAGATGATCGTCAGTAATTAAAACTGTAAGCTGCCAATGTCTTGATCTGATTGTCAATATTTAACATACATTATCAGGTAGTAAGTTTGCTATTTATGCCATTATTGATAGTCATTCTTAGGCATGATATTTCAGGCTTAGCAATAAGTGTATTTTCATATTTGGGATGTTCCTTCTTAAGGTAAAGAGAAAAGTACATATTTTGACTTCCCTGAAACAACTCCAGACCAGACTTACATGGAACTTTGGACTCCAATCAGGAACAGAGTCTTGGGAATTTTGGGCAAGGAAGACTTTCCTCCAGGTTTAACTTCTGCATAGAGAAAAGATATTCCTGTATATTAAATTTCAAGTCATTGTGCTCTGTCTGCTCAGAATGAAGCTATCCTTTCACACAGTCAATGAAACCAAGCAGAGCGCTGAGTTCAGTGCACATTAATAGTCACTGTCACTGCGAGTATGTTCTCTACTCACAGTGCTGGCAGAAAATGACCCCTTGCATTTTTAAGTTATATGGATACATTAGCTCTAAGATCTGAACTATCAGCGTAACCAGCTCCTCAGGTTGACTTCTCAGTTGCATGCTCTGAGAAGTAATTGGGACAGCCAGTCAGGTCATTTCTTTTCTGTGTGCATGGATAGGGTTAGTGTTTCTCCATTAATTAAATAGAGAGAGAGAT